AATTTTAAAAAAATATAATTGTCTTAAATCAAAAACTTTTAATTCTTTGTACAAGGAGTTACTAGAATATTGAATATCTTTGTTATAGATAATACGCAAAATCCATTTTTGCACCACATGAACATCATTCAGAAAGTTATCGTGTATTCCTCCCCAACCTATAATACCATAGACTAATAACGACTGTACCAAAGAGAAATACATTGTTTTTAGAGCATGAACATTTAAAAAATCTTTTAAATACCTGAATTTGGGCAATAATCCTCTTATTTTTTTAATAAGTTGCTTGGTATGTAAATCCCACCTCATATGCCTATCTATAAGAATTCCAAGATATTTTACTGAAGAGGCTTCAGGGATTTCTATACCTAGGCCTACTTTTAAAGATCCCATGGAAGGAAGACCACTAGTATAGGAGCTAAACGGTAAGTAGTTTGTTTTTGTATAGTTTATTGTAAGTTTATTATATTGAAGCCAATTTGCTATTCTTGGAAAGTCACTTTCAACTTTTTGTTTTAGGTTATCCCAAGAAGACGAAGTGTATATGACAGCCGTATCATCCGCGAAGCTAAAAATTTGGCCAAGTGATTCCAAATTGAGAAGGCTATTTATGTATACAGAAAAAAGGATCGGGCCTAACACGGTTCCCTGAGGAACTCCAACAGTTACTGTTTGTGAATCACTTCTAGTATCTCCAATTTGAACAAGCTGCTGCCTATTTGATAAATAACTTTCAAAAGTGTTATATGATTTACCCCTAACTCCATACTTTTGCAATTTTTCTAATAATTTCACATGACACACAGTGTCGAAGGCTTTGGAGAGATCTAGAAATATACATAAAATGGGTACTTTTTTATCCAAAGAGTTATAAATTGTTGATGTTAGTTTATAAATGGCATCCTCAGTTGATCGACCCTCCCTGAAACCAAATTGACGATCAGATAATATACGAAATTTGTTTAGAAATTTGCAAAGGCGTATTTTTAAAATTTTTTCAATTATTTTTGAAATAGTTGATAATAGCGATATTGGTCGATAATTTCCTAATTCATTTTTATTTCCATTTTTAAATAGTGGTTTGACTATAGCACATTTTAAAATCTTAGGAAAACACCCTGTATCTAAACATTTATTTATTAGAAAGGTCAATGGTTCAACAATTTCGTAAGCAATTTGTTTTAACGTATCTGCACGAATTTCATCCAAACCTGGAGATTTTTTATTTTTTAGATTATTTATTATTTCTAAGACCTCCGATGTGTCTGTTGGAAATAGATACATAGTATTTTCCAAAAAATCTAAATTATCTTCATAATTATTCAGATCTGGTATTCTGTCAGCTAAATTTTCTCCAATTGTACTAAAGTAAGTATTAAAGTGATTTACAATTTCATCCGTTTTTTTTACTGTTTTTCCGTCTAAAAGCTTAATTTCCTCAATGTTTTTATTTTGCTTTTGTTTACCGCAAATATCTTTTACGCATTCCCAAACGGCTTTAGATGTATTTTTGTTAGTTTCAATTTGTCGAGAAAAATATGTTCTCTTAACTTTTTTAATTATATTATTTAATCGATTATTATAGTTTTTGTATTGTTCTTTTAATTCTATATTATCTGGATGTTTTAAGCTATATTTGTACATTGTCTGCTTCTTTTTAATACTTTTTAGCAAACCTGGTGTCAGCCATTTTTTTTTATAAATATCTTTCGTTTTTATTAAGACTATGTTTGTATTTTTATTTATAAAAGATTTTAGTTTAGCTATAAAGTTTTCACACATGATATCTGGATTCATTTCATTATAAAGTTCATTCCAAGATTCATTTATTAATTCTTGCTTTAAATTTTTATAATTAATATATCGTTTAATATTTTGTGAAGGCTCTTTGATACTTACTTTATCTGTGCTAAATGTGAGGCCTATTGGGCAGTGGTCTGTTATATGGTACCTAAATATAAATGATTTTATATTTCCAGTTTCTGAGTTAGCCCTAGTTTGTATCCAAAATTGGTCCAAACAAGTTTTACTTGGTAAACGTGTGTATTCATTAATATATGATATAAAGCCCTGAGAACTTAATATATTTTTATATTCTTCGATACAGTCGCTACTGTCTAAAATATTCATGTTTAAATCTCCTACGATAATATTTATATCACTGCGATGAAAATGATTTAAATAATTTAACAATTCTAAATTAAAAATTACTGGAGAGATGGATGGTGATCGATACACGGCAGTAATATCTATGGTATTTTTGAATGACATTATTTGTATTTTTAAACATTTTACATCCCCGATAAAAATATTAGATGAAGTATATTTTAAATGAGATTTAATAAATATCAATATTCCATCATTTTTGTTTAAGTTTCCTTCATTATATAAAATATCGTAGTTAGGGATTTGGTGTAAGTTGGGGTCAAGTAGCTGATATGTTTCAGTTAATACTATCAGATCAAATTTTACAGTTAAACGGTCTAATACTATAAACAATTCATCGATATTTTTTTCCACGCTTCTAATATTCATGTGAAATATTTTAAACTCGTTTAAGTTAACATAGTTTTTGAATTGATTTAATTGAAGTATGTTTTGTGCCTCTATAGGTTCATTTTCATATTGTAAGATAAACGGATCCATTGTTTACAGTTTATAAATGAAATTTTATTTATTAATAATTTAGAAAATATATTAATAGTTAAAGTTTCCAATAGTAAGGAAAAAAGAAATAAAATTAAAAATAGTAAAAAGATTAGGTCCAAAGTTCATAAATAGCCAAAAAAGAACCAAAAAAAAAAAAAAAAATTTTTTTTTTTTATAGTTTATAGTTTTATTTTTTCTTCTTACTTCTTGTATTTTTAGGGCTTATGTTATCCTTTTTTCGTTTATTAGATTCTGCACTCTTAGAATCTGTTATCGCTTCTAAATTTTCACTTTCATCTTCTTCTTCGCTGTTCGAGTTACTTTCACTATCACTTTCTTCTTCGCCTGTTTTTATATTTCCTTTTTCCAATTCTTCCACAGTAAAAGATTTTCCATTAATTAGAAGCTGCAGTCCTCTTATTTTAGCATTACATTTTTTATTTAGAGCATCTTGCAGATGAATTCTCAGAATTTTTTTATCTTCCCTATCTTCTTTAGATAAATCGTCGCAGATAGATAATCCTTTATCTTTGAGTTGCTTGAGTTTCTCTATATTTGCAAATAATGTTTTTTTTGTGAGATATGAAATAAATTCTACTAATATTGGAGTGTTTGGGCCCTTACCTAGTTTGTATATGTTGTTCAAATGTTCTACTTTTATATTGCACCCTAGATTATTATTAAGGATACTAATAGTTTTTTCAATTATAATTTCATTTCCTTCTGTTTTTATTCCAAAAATAATAATATTATTTCTTTTTAAATTTCTTTCCAATTTTCTGTTTTCGTCTTTAAGCAGAGCTATTTCTTTACGAGCATCTTTTAATTCAATAAATAATGTTTCGGTAACATTTTTAATTTCACTTTTTAGTTCTTTTTTTATTTCCTCTGTTTGCATCTGGTTGGCCATTAACAAAAGTTGGAATAATTTCCTTTGATCCTCTGGTACATTTTCCATTAGACTCATAATCGTACTAACCAGTTTACTTTTTCATGTAAAGAAATAAAATTATCAATATCGACTCGAAATTTTTCTTTAAAGTTGATTGTTAAACTGAATTGATGGCAACATGAGAACGTGACAGTGTATTAAATTTAAGGTGCAAAGGTTAATTTCAGCAATTATGGGCCATGTGAAAAGTCAAATTCTTTGTAAATCCAAAGTAACTAAGTTGATTTCACTTACAGGTAATCGGGCTCCACTAATAACCATGTTACCACTCAAAAACTAATTTATTTACCACTTTTTCCACTGTTTTTGAAGATGTAAATAAACCTAAAATTTGGAATAACTTTCACAACGTTGCCACGTTGATGTCTATAATAATATTGATTGATTTTAACAAAGTTTACTTTTTATTAATACCTACAAAAGTATCTAATCTCTTATAAATATGGTTTGCAGTACTAAAAAAGTCTAATAGCTGAGAAATTATTTCAATTAATACAATAATTAGTACAATTAGAAAACTTGGAAGATAAGAATGCTAAAAGCAGAGATTTACCTAACTTGAAGCCACTTCAAATCCTACACTTCCTTGAGAAAATTTACAATTGGTTTGTGGACATGGACAAATAATGTCCAATTCCTTTCAAATATAATATAATCTAAATAGTTGTTATAAGAAGCCTCTTCATTAATACAATATTTTGAACGTAATAAAGTGTTTTAAATAAGAGCCTGATAATGATGGACCCTACTTATCCAATAAAATAGGTTTAAGATTATAAAAATGTCTAGAAATATAAAGTTGAGTTCTTGTCTCTTTTATCTTGTTGCCGAATATTTCTACTGCCACTAGTATTTCGCAACCGTCATGAGGTCTTGTGCTGCCTAACTTAAATATAATTTTCTGTTAAATGATTTCCTTTGTAGAATAAAATTGGTTCAAAATTTCTGTGCTAATTCTGGACCAATTTAAGTGAGGACGGTGTTTAATTCATCTGCAATGTATTACCACTACCTACAGTTCTATTTTCCGTGACTATTTGAGACATGTTTACAGCTTTTTGGTTAATTATGCATAAATGGATTTAATATTTCACCTTAGTTATAGACATTTAAAATTAATTTTCCTAGTAATCTAGAAAAAACATAACCTTTCCTTTTCTAAAACTTTCTACATTTCTCAATTATTCTGACGATTAGACAACACTCCAACTAAAAAGATCGATGAAGTGCATCGTTTTTTGTATTAAAAACTCGCATGTTTTTTATATTGTATCTACAAAATCGTACTGCAAACCTTTATTTTAGAAATCAGCGGTTTTATTATTAAAAAATTAACACATGTATAATTAACATATTATAGATTATTCGTGAATAAAAATATTAAAATCTGATATCTTACCCAGTTACACCAGTTCTACAATAACATTGTCCCGTCAAAATGTCGCAAGTCTCGTTCAACGATCCCACAGGATCACAATTGCAGCTCTGGCAGCCGTTTCCGCTATGCAAACTAAAATAACCATCTTCACACGTATCGCAATTTCTTCCGACAACGTGAATTTTGCATTCGCAAATACCTGTAGCTTGGTCGCATTTCGCGGCACCGCTTAAGTCTTTTTCGCTTCCAAGAAAATGACACTCGCATCGTTTGCAGTCTCCTTTTGGTAATACTAAAGCATTCCCATAAAAACCTGTCGGATGAAAAGAATAAATGTGTTAGGAATTTTAAAAAAGTATGTTGCTCTGATGATAGCGGAACAATTTCAAAGGTATTGAACTTTTAAATTGATATGGAAATATTTTTTGGAGGAGCATAGATAAATTATTACATTGAAAACTATATAACTATTTAAATGAGAAAACAGAGATATTGATAAAGGACCCCGCACTTTTTACATTGAGTTTGGGTACTGACAGAATTTGTTCAAATTTTGGTATGTTATTTTTCAGGTCATTAACGGCAACTTTCTTAAGAACCTCAAGTTTGCAGCTCTACAGGGCGAGCTTTTAGAAGGAGCCAAAAGTATGAAATACAGAATTAATATTTTCATATATATCTTCTACTACTCTTAAGTAATTCATGTTTTTTCCATGAAACTTGTGGTACCTCTTACACTTGTAAATAGTTTGTTAATGCCTACTGACACTTTGTAAAATAAAACATACAGAGCGTTAAAAAAATTAGGAATAGTAGAATAAGGTGCATTTTCATGTATTATCATAATTAGAACATTATTTCTGATCGTTTATTTGTTATATTAAATACTAGATAATATTAATTAATAATACAGGGTGTGACAGATGGACCACATTTTAGAAATGTCACGACTAAAACTTTATTAAAGCATATATACACCTAGCAAAACTGGTAAAATATAAAGTAATGCTAATATTTTAAACCTAAAGTAAAATTTAGTTATAACGACTATTTTAAAGAACATGGTAACAAAAATAATAAAACATTACATTGGACCGACTCTCCTCCAAATTGGAGGATAGATGGACTGCATATACTAGGATAGATGGACCATCTCAATATATTGTTTTTTCTTAGCTACATTCATACCACAAGCATAGCATATGGATTCAAAGTTCGTACAGCCTTCGTGGAGCCATCTCTTGCATGTAATGCATTGAATCCAATCTTCCTTTTTATTTGCTTTTCTGTAATCTTCACCGCAACCTACACATTCATTTTCTATATCTTCTTTAGAATCGTCTAATTGAGGATTTTCTTCTCATTCTGACGAGGACACGACTTTTTTTCTTTTTCTTTGATTTTTCGTTCATTTTACATTTTTAGATTTAACAGTTTTCTTAATGTCTTTTTCAGCTGGGGTAACCACTGGCACTGGAGAAATTTCATCTTATATTTAGAACTAGTTTCTCAGGAGTTTTTTTTTGTAACTTTTACAACCCAGATGGACCCGGCTGCGGCGAATAAGCCCTTTCATCGACAGATAAATCTTCATCTAATTTGTGTGCATCAGTTAGTTCTCCATCTTGCATGAGAAAAGCGTGATCCGGAATAATATGAGAGTTAAAAGGCATTGTACCAGTGGCGCAAAAACTTAACAATGCATTTTGTTAATCTATCTTGATTTCTTTTTCTACATTTAAAATATTTGTTTGGATATTTATAAGCAAGTATTTCAATGGGGCCTATTGCTCTTGGATCTTTTTCTAATTGACAAACTGAACATATTCTCGAATCGCAGTGAAAACAATATTTTGTATTAGGTGGTAATGACATTTCAGGAAATCCAAAGCTTGATCTATGCAAAACTGCTATATATCTTCTTTTTTGTATATTAAGTACATTATTATTTTCTTCCTTTATTAAAAAATGAGCTAAATGAGGTGTGTTGCAAATAAAACATCGAACCATTTTTCTGATTATTAAAACCAACTATTAATCTTAGTAAAAACAATAATATTCTGTGACCATATATTATACTTGTCAATGCAATGCAATTGTTTTATAGCAATTTCAGCCTGTTTGTAAAAAACGGAAGGCACTTCACATAGAAAATTTTTTTTATCAAAATATTCCTAACAAACTTTTAAAATTGTTTCTAATAACATAGCTTAAAAAAGAAGAATGAAATAAACATAGTCTGAAATTATTGCAAAGGTTCCATCGCTGAGTGTTAACTCTATCATAATATATTAGTTGCTAGTAAATCTAACGCTCGCCAACGTTTTAGCTTATATAATCCTTTTGCAATTCTGATTATGCCTATATAATATTTTATAGTATAAGAAAAGTATGCAGGTACAGGGGTGTGGAATAGCTAAACAATAAGAATTAGCCAGAATTAAATATCATCAGTATTTATAACAGGAAGTTTTTAATAAATTTGTTTTTATTTTAACTAAATCTACAAAAATAGAAAAAAGTGGTAGACTGACATCTGTAATGTATATCAGGAATTACTTTTTATTTAGAATATGTCTTCTGAATCATTTATTCAAGTGAGGGTTAGTAGTAATATTTCGAAATTAAAGAAGACGTAGAATGGGATTTGGTTAGTTGTAGAAATTATATTACAAACAAAATTAATTTCACTTCAAGATTCTTTCTAGAATATTTTAGGTAGGTATACCAAATTTTTTCACTGTATGTGTTTTTTTTTTAATTATTAGTTGTTTATGTAGTTTTGTCACACCCTATATTACTTATAAAAATTATCCAGTGCTATATAAAACAAAAAATGGTCAGAAGTCTTATTTTAGCTATAGTTATACATGAAAAATGTACCTTATTTCAGTAACTAAATTTCCTAATTTTTTAAACACTCTGTATAATTTATTTTACAAAGTTCAAGTAAGCATTGACAAACTATATACAATTGTAAGACGTGCCATAAGTTTCATGGAAAAACATGAATAGCTTAAGAGTGGTAAAGATATATATGAAAATATTAATTCTGCACTGCATACTTTTGACTCCTTCTAACAGCTCACCCTGTAGAGCTGCAAACTTGAAGTCCATAAGAAAGTTGCCGTTAATGATCTGAAAATTAACATACTAATATATGAACAAATTCTGTCAGTACCCAAAATCAATGTAAAAAGTGCGGGGTCCTTTGACTAAACTAAATTCAAAACAAAAGCTAAAACTATATTTGTTTAAGAAAACATTTAGAAATTAACTATCAACATTGGAAAACAAAAATATATATAGAACATAAGAAGTTAAGGAAAAATTATCTGCATAAACAATCAAATCTATAAATATTTGTTTTCACGTCTGGGGTCCAGGGATGGTCTTAATAATTCGTTAGAGGATTTTTGAGATTTGTTTTCGATTTTTCAAATTTATTTATAAACAATAATAATAATTATATTATAAGAAATAGAGAAACGAGAGTAAAAATCTGTAATTAGCTTCTTAAATAGTATTGAGTAAGGTTCGTTTTTTAAAGAAAAATACTTTTGCATATTTAAAAATCTGATTTGTCCAACACATGACTTTCCTATCTAGTTATTACAGGCTTTTCCCGGTTATTTTGTACAACCTATTGCAGCACCTCCATAAATGTTTAGAGGATAAAATAAATATATACATTTTCCACATACATCTACATCGAAACATTTTTCTATAGATATTCATTGACAATGAAAATACTGAAAAAATTAAATTTATCACATTTCCTACAATTTTTCCATTACGGTCTATTTTAGAAAAATCATGTATAAACAAAAATTATAGAGATCGATATCGCAAACAACTTTTATTTCAACAAATTTTATATCAATCAGAATTTTGCACATTTTGTCAAATTTCTCGAATACGGATCATTTCAGGAAATTTTGACGTAAAGCAAAAATTATAGATAATAATATTAGAAATAACTTTTATTTGAACAATTTTTTTCTCCAAACATAAATAACAGATATTCCATAAAATATAAAAACGGTCCCCTATAAAGTACCCCCCCAGATGTTCCGACTTTCTCCAAAATGTATATGATAAAAAATTATAGAGAATTATATTAACAACTTTTGTTTGAACAATTTTTATAAAAAAAATATTTTTTTACATTTTATCAAATTTCTCGAATACGGACCATTTTAGGAAAATTTTGTATAAATTAAAAATTTTAGATTATAATATAAGAAGTAACTTTTATTTGAAGAATTTTCTTTCCCAAACGTAAATAACAGATATATTCCATAAAATATAAAAATGACCACCTATAAAGTACCCCCCCAGATGTTCCGACACTGCCCAAAATCTAATCAGCACATTGAACGCTGGAACAAAGCTTAAGTTTGAAATTTGGTGTTTTTCTGTGTATCGGTTCATGAGTTATGCGACACACAGACACACAGACACACAGACACACAGACACACAGACACACAGACAGACACACACACACACACACACATACACACACACACACACACACACACACACACACACACACACACACACACACACACACACACACACACACACACACACACACACACACACACACACACACACACACACACACACACACACACACACACACACACACACACACACACACACACACACACACACACACACACACACACACACACACACACACACACACACACACACACACACACACACACACACACACACACACACACACACACACACACACACACACACACGCACGCACGCACGCACGCACGCACGGTTTTCTTCTTTTGTTGTTTCTCACTTTGTAGTTGTGGGAATTCATTCCTTCATTTCGTAGGGGAAATTAAGGTATTCATTTTCCAAGGTATTCATTTTCCAAAATCATTACAAAAATAGATGCAAAACAATGTAACATCAAAAAGTATAAAATAATTTTCAATAAATTTGAAATTTTGAAATAAGAATAAGGTGATTAACAAAAATATTTCTTTTAACTGACAACTGCATCTAAAGCGAACTTGAGCTGAATTTTTATTGGGACTAATCATAATAATAAGTACATGCATGAATAGAGGATCGAAAGAGATGGTAAAAATGGACTCCTCTCTCCTCTACCACTAACATTGAATGAAATTTGATAAAAAGTAACCACAGAGATAACATACAGTATCAGATTTGGAAAATTGCTAAACCTGAAGATCCTGATTAGAATAATGGGGCAAACTATTTAAATTATGGCGTTGTCATAAATCTGACGTTTTGAAGGGGGTGAAAATCACATTCAAGCT